AACCACAACAACAACAACAGCAACAACAGCAACAACAACCACAACAACGCCACCACCAACAACAAACCCAACAAACACAACAGCAACAACGCCAACGCCAACACCAACAACAACAACAACAACAACAAAACAAGGTACACCCCGGGACTGCGACCCCGTCACCCCCGGTTCCTCTCCCGGGCTCCCCCCCCTGGCGCAACCCGGACCTGCCGCCCCGTGCGGACCAACCCCCCTCCCCCCACACCAACCAACCAACCAACCAGCTCTCGCTGCAACACAAAAAAAAACTGTATATCACCTATGGGGAGGAGGAGGAGGAGGAGGAGGAGGAGGAGGAGGAGGAGGAGGAGGAAGGACGAGGAGGAGGACGGAGGGAGGAGACGGAGGAAGGAGGAGGAGGAAGGAGGAAGGAGGAGGAGGAGGAAGGACGACGAGGAGGACGGAGGGAGGAGACGGAGGGAGGAGGAGGAGGAAGGAGGAGGAGGAGGAGGAGGAATGAGGAAGGATCGCCAAGGACAGCCCTTGATCCAGGATGGCTACAGATAGCTCAGCAGGGCAGGGAGGAGCAGCCAGAGGAAAGAGTGGAACGAGGGGGAGCTAATGAGGAACGAAAGGGGAGAGTGGGGTGGGACGGCTGGGAGGGAGGGAGCAAGTAGGGAGTTACTCCACCCTCCTCCTCCTCCTCCTCCTCCTCCCCCTTCTCCTCCTCCTCCTCCTCATCATCATCACCACCACCACCACCATCACCATCACCATCACCATCACCATCACCATCACCATCAAGATCACCACCAGCATCACCATCACCATCACCATCACCATCACCATCATCATCATCATCCTCATCCTCATCATCATCATCATCATCATCACCATCATCATCATCATCAGCATCAGCATCAGCATCAGCATCAGCATCAACATCCTCATCAGCAGCACCAGCATCAGCATCATCATCATCATCAGCAGCATCAGCATGATCATCATCAGCATCATCATGATCACCACAACCACCACCATCATCATCAGCAGCATAACCATCATCATCAGCATCATCATCAGCAGCATCACCATCAACATCATCATCAGAATCATCATTATCTGCATCATCACCATAATCGTCATCATCGTCATCATCATCCTCATCTGCATCATCATCATCATAATCGTCATCAATATCCTCATCACCACCATCATCATCATCAACATCATCATCATAACCATCATCATCATCATCATCACCATCATCATCCTCATCGCCGTCATTATCATCATAATCGTCCCCCTCCCCTCATCATCGTCCCTCCTTCTACTCATTATCATCGTCATCATCCCTCCCCTCCCGTCCCTCCTCCCTCCCCTCCAGCCCCTCCTGCTGCCGCTGCTTCCCTTTCCGCTCCCCAGAACACATAAAGAGAGCGAGGAAGATAGAGAGACAGAGACAGAGACAGAGACAGAGAGAGAGAGAGAGAGCGACGCACGCACGCACGCACGCACAAACGCACACACGCTCTCTGGCGGCCGCATGAAACGTAGACTGAAAGAGAAAACGCGCAGCATTGAATAGCAATATCCCTAATGAGCCTTGGTGAACCTTGAAGAAGACGCCCAAGACGGCCCTCCAGGCCCCCCAGACGGCGCCAGGCGGCTCCAAAGGACCCCCCCGGACGGCGAGTGGGACCCCAGGATGGCCCAAGAGGGCCCCCAGAAGGGGGGGAATCGGGGGGAGGGGTTGGTTGGTTGGTGTGGGGGGGGGGGTTGGGGGGCCAGACCCGGTGTCGTTCAACAACAACAACAACAACAACAACAACAACAACAACAACAACAACAACAACAACAGCATCAACAACAACAACAATAACAACAACAATCACTTTACCCGAACGCTCAGTGTTCTCACCAGTGCCAGGGTTTTCATGCGACGCCAGCCAATACCCCCACTTTGTGGGGGGGCAGTGCAAGCTCTACCAAATATCCCCACGACTCTTCGCCCCCACCCACACCCAGCTTCCCGCCCTATGACGTTCGGACACTTCACTTCGTGGCCTGCGGACGACCGTGGCTACTACACTGGCGTGGAGTACACACCCACAGAAGTTGTTAAGCCTACGTTCGTACACCCACAGAAGTTGTTAAGCCTTGTTAACCCACAGAAGTTGTTAAGCCTTCCACAGAACATCTGTTGCATATGATGCATATGGTACATGATCCACATGATACACATGATACGTACTCACAAGATAGTTGATCACATCTTTAGGGCAAATTCCTGAGGGATGTGGGAATACACAAGAGAGAGAGGATCTGGTTGTCCCGATGGTTGTCTCGATGGTTGTCCCGATGGTTGTCCTGATGGTTGTGGTTGTCCCGATCGTTGTCCCGATGATTGTCCCGATGGTTGTCCTGATGGTTGTGCTTGTCCCGATCGTTGTCCCGATGACTGTCCCGATGAGTGTCCCGATGGTTGTCCCGATGGTTGTTCCGATGGTTGTCCCGATGGTTGTCCCGATGGTTGTGAGCGATGCCGGATCCTCACGCCCCCCGCCGGAGGAGGAGGAGGAGGAGGAGCAGGACCAGGAGGAAAGGAGAGAAGAGAGAGGAGGGGCGGGAACGGCGCTTGCACGCCCACCCACCGTCTTTTCCCCGCCGCGGCTCTAAAGAGACGAGTTCGTGTGCTCGTCATCTTCTGGCATACGCCCGTCCCTGATGGCACGGATGGGGCGCAATGCTGCCAGCTGGGCTCCTGCAGAAATACATCAGGGGCCAAGTGTCCAAGCATGGTGCCGATACGCCTCCTCACGGATACATCGCCCGTGCGTGCGAGGGGCGCCAATACCGCCAGGACGCCCTGGACATGCGCCGGCATACGCAGATCCACCTGGTAATCCATGACGTTGCCATACTGGGACTGCCCGCAAGAACGCCATACTGGCACGTGCCACCAATGGTCCTGCTTCGGGAAATAGGTGATACCATCGTTGACGTCGTGGGAGGCATTCCACAGAGCCATAGATTGCGGCTCAATACCCATGGGTCCCGTGTGTGTTGCCACAAATACGTCCAGGCTCGCCATGCGCCTGTACGACAGACCTGATACCACCTCGGAGTGCACGTGAATACCCAGGAGCTCATGTAACATAAATGTTGGAAAACCATTGGTTTTTTTAGGATTCGGACAGCGCGCGCGGGTAGAAATTTTGAAAAGTCGTGCAGGTGTTTTTCGAGGACCTACGGTGCGATTCGTGTGATTTTATGATGCGCGTTGCTAAAATTCTTGGTTCGTTTAATAATATGCGTTGTTTTAAATTTACGGGAATTCTTTTCCCTTGGTGTGCTAGTTGGGCATAGTTCTTTTTTCTCTTGTTATGTTTCTTCGTTCTTCCGCAGTTATATTCCTTAACATTCTTTAATTCTTGCGATCGTGTCTTTGGTCCTATCTTAGGGGGAAATTCTTTTCTTTACTTAAGAAGCCCAATGGTTTTTTGGAGATTTCGGCGTGCGCGCGCGAAGAAAAACGAATGTGTCCCGCATGGTATTATTTGACAGGGATGATGGCCCTGGCAGGTGCGCAACCGTTGTGGCAGAAGTTCGAAAAAGTTGCTCGCAAAAGCCCGTTTGACAGAAATGTTTAAAAAGTGTTGGGTTTCCTACGAATCCGCAAGAGCGCGCGGGATGAGATTTTGACATTTTTTGTTGAAAAACCATTGTTTTTTTGATGTTTTTATGTTAAAATCGCTGCGAACACTAAGGTTTTGGAAGGATTTCGTCTTGCGCGCGCGAATGTCCACTTTACCTTATTTTTTTGCAAGGGATTCTTGAAATTTGATTATATTAGAACAAGAAATGTCATTTTCTATTGTTTTTTGCAAGGGAAAGCGGATTACAACAAAACAACCGGATCCTGTACACACCCTCTTTTTCTGAGGCTTCCTCACGAAAATGATGAAAATGTAGCTGCGGCCTAGGCGGCGCAGGGGGGGCGCGCACCAGGGGGCCCAACAATAATTATTCTTTAGAATAAATAATGTTCAACAACAACAACAACAACAACAACAACAACACCAACAACAACAGCAACAGCAACAGCAACAGCACACCTGATGGCCAGGTGTCCCGAGCGAGAGGCCTCTGCGGGCCCGGCCCACGCCCAGGACGATCGAAAGCTGCCCAGGAGGAAAGACCAGACCCAGGGAAAGTCGAGGGCCCCAGGGGCTCATGATGATCAAAAGATACCCAGAAGGAAAGAGCAGCCCCAGGGGGAAATTCGAGGAATGACCAGCCCCTGAAAAAATCGTGACGTCGGAGGCGTGGCCGGGTGTTGCTAGAAGTGCCCCTAACCCTAGGTGCCCCAAGGACTCCCGAGGAGGCCCCCACGGCCTCCAGAGCACCCCTCCTGAGCACCCCTCACGAGGCCCAGAGGGCCCCAGGGGCTCCAAAATTCAGCGAAAAGCTGGGAGCTCCGTGGGCCAGGGGCACCCCCTCGACTGGGCACCGAGCGCGATCTAGGCCACCACTTGGTGCCTCGCACTGCGCGCGAGACGCAAGAACCTTCGCGCTGCCGCGCCGCCCCCCTGGGGAGCGACACCCCTGCGGCTCAGACCGCACAGCGCGAAGAGCGACTCCAGCCCACGTGCTGCCACAAGGAGCGCCGAAGATAAGGAACGAGGGGGACTTTGCTGGCTACGGCGGGCCTCGGCCACGAAGGGGCTCCACGACCTGGAGGGAAGGAACGGCCCAAGAAAGTCAGAGCCCCCCCCCCCGAAGCCAGAGTGACCCTTGACTCGACGTCTTGGCAATAGATTCGCGCCCCTGCGGATGACCTGAGCGAGGGGCATCCTCCTGCAGCTGGCTCCCTGCAAGTGCCTTCCGGACCAGGTGAAGGTTATCCCGAGAAGGCCCTCGACAGGGCGCAGCTGATGGAGAACACCCCAGGGCGCCCGAATGCATCCTGGAACCTTGGAAAACCTGCGCAAGCCACTGAGAAACTCCGAGGAGGCGGCAGCTTCCCCTTGGAGGAGTTCCTCGGATCCTGCGTGGGGAAAGTGTCATTCTCGTCCAGGGCCTGCACCAGCGCCTTGTAGCCATCGGTGGTGATAGCACCTTCGGCACCGCGTGACGCTACAGCCGGGACGACGACGCGCATTACGAGCAGAAGGACGGGGTCCTGGCGGGCAGGAACCTCTTGCAGACCTACCTTGAAGAGGTGAGGCAGGGGAGCGAGGAGGTGGAGAAAAAACGGGGTGGATAAAGCGTTGGGGACTCTGCAAGGGATTAAAGATTTGTTTCTTGGAAGCGACCACAGAGCACAAGCACACGATGCCCGTCCTTGGGCAAGAAGTTCGATTGAGCATCATGTCCGTTTTTCCTCGTGGATGGCTATACCCGCACACATCGGATGCAAGCTCGAGCTCGACAGCGGCAAGGCTCTAAAGTGGCCGGCCCGGTAGACGTCACCACAGTCAAGGAGGAATTTTCAACAGGCGCGGCGACTAACGTGCGGGCACGGCTAGGCGACTCGGGCGCGAGCCCGAAAAGGAGAAGGGTGCCCGAGCACCTCCCGAAGGGAGTGCCAGCAGGCGCGGCCAGTGGCCTACTCGCCGTGTCCACGACGACCAGGTCTCCGACCAGGGCGTCGAGGACGATGGCTCCGACCACAGTCAGGGAGGAGGGGGAGGCGGACGAGCCGAAGGAAGGAGGAGGGGGGGGGGAACCTCCAGCCACGCCGCTGCCGCCGAGGCTTCCTGCGGCGGGATCTGCCGAGGGGCAGCTCTACGGCCAGCAGGCAGTTTCGAGCGCCGGGCGTTGGGCGGCCTCCAGCGACAAGAGGGGGCGGGACGGGCCATCCTCGCCTGGCGGGCTGGTCGGCAAGTGTGGAAGTGCATGGCCGCAAAATGGAGAGCTTCAAGGGAGGCGAAACGCGAGGCGATGCGCCGACATACGTCCAGAAGGACGGCCCGTTGAGAGCGGGGAGGGCGACGACGACGACGACGACGACGACGACGACGACAGCTTCGAGGAAAAGGTGGATCAAACTGAGAGCCGGGGGGGGGGCCATGAAGGCGGGAGGATATCAGATGAAGCGAATTGCATTCCCCATAAATCGGAATTCGAATTCTGGGAAACCGCGTTTCCCGAAATTCTGAATTCGAAGTATGGGAAACGCAAATCCAGCCCATTCAATGCAGCTTTTAAAAGGGAATTGCGTTTCCCATAATTCGGAATTCGAATCATGGGAAACGCGTTTCCCGCGCAATGTGTCCTTGGGGCAGTCGTCCAGGGCTGCGGTTCCCATAATTCGCCCTTCTCGAATTGCTGAATTATAAGAAACGCAAACCCGGACGGCAGCCTGACCACTGGGCGGGACGGCGGCGACTGCGTCGGGCGAGCCTTGGAAGGCGTGACGGCCGCCACCGCCGCCGCGACCGCTGTATCCACCACGTCGAGCGCCTGCACCCCCCCAGTCAATGGAGCGCGGTTGGGCGCGCACCAGCGGTTCGGCTGCCTCCACGGCGCAGCGCGCGCCTCAGCGGAGGCGCTCCATGCCGTGAACTGCTCGGCTCCTGGGAGCTGCGCTCTCTCCACGCCCTCCTGGGCCAGAAAGGGCTTATCGTCGTCGGAGGCGGATGGCTGGGATGGTTGGGGTGAGGGCCGCCTCGGTACCCGAAGTAGCCACCGAAGTCACCTTAGACGGTGCCACAGACACTCCATGAGCTGCTCCTGCGCAAAGTTGGCCGTCTCGAGGACCTCCAGGTTAGTCACCCATCTCCCGCTTTTGCCAGCAAGCTCCCGACAAAGAGCAGCGCGCTAGCCTATGAGTCCTGTGTTTGTCTTGATCGGCCCGACGAGGTTGTTAGGCAGCTCCTAGTTGCCAGAAGACAACGCGTCGGCATGCGTATTTGCCTCTTCGCGATCTTCAGGTGAAACGTCGACGTGGTCACCCAAGCCGAACAAGCCCCGGCAGCGATGGCGGGGTAGGTGGGGCGCAAATCCAGAATAGCTCCCAAAGACAACTGAAGTGCAGCCGTTGGTGGTTCTGCGAGCTGTGTCGGTCCCACCACCTTGGCGTGGATTCCCGCCACCGCACTCGGGTACTCCGCCTCTGCCTTGGAGAGGTCGGCCTCGGCCGCTTGAACTGTATCACAAGCTGACTGGCACTGCTGAGACGAGCGCCCAGCCATGTGGACATCCTTGGCCAAAGTCTGCTTGAGGCGACCCATGGGGCGGAAGGCCTCACCCGTTCGCTGATGAGCTGGAAAGGGTAGCTGGCGCCTGCGGCCGAGTTTCATATTGTGCATCTTGACCTTGTCCTGCTGACCCGCCAGGCCTATGAGCTGCTTGAGCTCGTCGCCAGAAAAAGTGACGGACTGAGCGTGCACGGTCGCGGCGGCCATTCCCGACGGGGCCAGGAATGAGAGGACGATCAGCGAGAGCAAGAGAATCCAAACCACAGCCACGCAGCGCGGACCGTTGAGGCCAAGCCCGGGCGCCAGGCGGCCAACACGGGGGCTGGCAGGCCAGGGACGACGAGGACCAGTGCTCGCAGCAGCGCTTTGAATTGTCCCACAGTAGACGAGTCTTGCCGCATCTGCAGATACAGCGCCACGTTTTGTCAGCATGCTAGAGAACCTTCGCGCCAACGCTGCTGCGCGGGGCCGTGGCAAGCTGGGAATTGCTGAGAATGGTACAGAAGCAAATGGCCCGACAGCGCACAGTGCAACTTTGAAGTTGGCGCTGCCAACTCAACGTGACTCTGGGGGGGGCTGCTTGAGCATAACGGCTACTCTGGGCATGAGTCCTCCGTCTCCCCTGGAGGAAGGTGGGAGGGTGGGAGGCAGGACGGAAGGAGGCAGGGAACGAGAACGAGGAGGAGGAGATGGAGGAGGAGGACGAGGAGAAGGATGAAGGAGGACGGAGACTGGAGGATGGAGGATGGAGGGTGAAAGGTAGAGAATAGAGGATCGAGGGGGAGGAGGAGGAGGATGGAAGGCGACGACGACGACGACGACGGCGACGACGAGCATGGACGACGACGACGACGACGACGACGACGACGACGACGAGCAGGAGCAGGAGCAGGAGCAGGAGCACCATCTTGCGTGGGAAAGCGGAGGCACAAGCGAATTCCCCTGCCCCGGGCCCATGCGCCGGCCGCCGGGTCGGAGGACGCCGAGGCGGGCACAGTCGCTCAGGTGGAGCTCGTACGGCGCCGTCTCCTCCGTCACCCCGGCGAGCCATCCAGCCAGCAGCGTGGCGGCAGCGTTGTCTACCGTGGCCTTGGCATCGTGGGGGGGGGCAGAGGCATCGCATCTGCGTGCGCGCGCTCGCCCCCCACCCGCGCCCCCCTTCCCGGTCTAGGGGGGGCAACATGAGAAAGGGAGGAGCAAATTGAATTATATAAAAAACAAATCATCGGATGCCCTGGGAAGTTCGGGGGCGCTCCCCGTCTGCCAGCTCTGTCCGTCTCTCTCTCTCTCTCTCTCTTCTCCCGCTCTCTCTCTTTCTCTCTCTCTCTCTCTCTCTCTCACTCTCCCTATGTATATGTGTGAAGTACGATTGTGTCTAAAGATATATGTGTACATACATACTTGTAGAAAAAAACATGTGCTGATAAGCATATACGAATATGCATACAAGTACATGTGTTCCTACATGTACATCGGCAACTATATATATGCACACTTGTACATGTATACACTTACATATGCATATACACAGACATTGACCTATGCATACACATACACCTATACAAGTGCATATAACTATACGAGTACATATGCTGCTGCGAATACACTGCAATAAACATAGACACATGCATGTATGCATACATATGCAAATACGTATTCGCCTACATGGAGACAAACATAGAACTATGCAAATGCAATGACACCTACGTACACATATACATGCGCATGTACGTCTACGTGTGCATGTAAATGTTCATCTAGCAATGTATCGGCATATGGTGTCTTAAACGTAAACATGATAGTATGAATACACAAATGCAGAGACAAATACATCCGCATATACGTCTACATAGATACATCGCCCTCTACATATCTGTATATGTGTAAACAAATACATATCCATATACGCAAACATACGCATGCACGCATGCATGTACATATACATGTATACATACTTAAGTGTGCAAACACAACTGCATGCACATCTACATACACACATACACAATCATATACATTTGCACACCTGCAAGTGCCTATACATGTATATAACATTATGCTTATGTGTATGAACATGCATATATACATAAGTGTGTGGTTGTCTCTATTGATCCGCCTTATCATACATATGTATCCCCCCTCTCTCTCGTTGAGTCCATATCTATCGGTCTATCTCTCTGCACAAAATGTGTACATATCATGTTGTTATGCATGCCACGCCAACTCGCTCTGCACGACGATAAGTCGCCAAGTGTACAAGATTCTTCCCATACGAATGTCTAGACATATTCAACTGACCATCCTAGATGGTATGCACTACCCTTGTATACAATAGAAGAACATGCCAAGAAACACCCTGCTTGCCTCCAGGGTGCCCTGGGTTTCTTCCGCTTCGATGGTTTTGCTGTTAAGGCGTGAAGTCCTGGGGTCTCAGGGTTGGGTTTCTTGTGGAAGGTTTCTTGTGGACTGGCCTCCACTGTATGTATGGATGAACGGCCGATTCGATCAGTATGAGCGATCAAGATATAGAAAAAGTGCACCACACGCTATGCGTAGCCGTATTCCTACGTACGCAAATACATTTACATTTACACTGATCTCTGTGTGTATGCATGACCATGGTGGCAAGCACTCCCAACATGTTTAGCTATGTATGTATCTCCACATACGCATAAATGTTTGTGTTTTTATACACGTGTTTCGTCTAGCCGATGTGTTTGTACAGATGCGCATGCATGTTACGACAATGGTTACGCGATATACCATCGAAGGCCGCTCTGCCCTCTATTATATAACCTCTAGTATACGCTTCCTCTTTTTATCTACGACCTCGACTATATGATATGTCGTCCCTACTCTATGATGCATACCCTCTCATAAAATCCTGACCGGACGGACCCAGAAGATCTCGAGAAACCG